ATCTTCGTGTTGGACCTTTTTGCCCGTCCCGATGTATGCCGCAGGATGTACGTATAGTTGCGAAGTTGCAATCTGCGCGTGTAAACTGGCGATACCGTTTCCGCGGTACGGATCCCGCCAGCGGGTTCACATGTCTCTCCTCCGACTAGTATTTTTTTCTTTTTTTCTTCACTTGTATTTCCCTTATTTTTTGTCTCGTGTGGCATGTCAGTTCGCCGGGCGATCGTCGGCGAGCGCCGCTCGTTTGTTCGTTCGTGGACAGATCGCGCTAGATCATCGATTCTCATCAGCGCGAGGTCGCGCAAAGTCGAAAGCCTCGGTCTCCCTCTCCCCGCTGAAAAAACGCTCCGTCGCGTCGATCCATCTTCACCGTTATCTCCCACCGATGCGATAAGAATACCGGTGAACGATTTAGCCGTCCATTTTTCCCGGAGAATCGGGATCAGTTAGACCGGTGGGTCTCGACGGTGCGCTTCCTCGTCAGATAAGTGGAAGATTCCTCTTATCAGACGAGAAGAGAGAAATTTCCGCTCGTAACGGGAGTTCGATGGATCGACGTTCGTCGGCGAGATCGGCTTGCTCGATCTGAGCATAATTTATCGTCGACGATTTACTTACCATTAAACGCCGGCAATCGAGACTTTCATTTGCGGGACGGCGGGGGGGGGGGGAGCCTGTGTCTGAAACGATCGGTCGCGAATGCGGAATTTTGTTAGATAAAAATCTATCGGGATCCTCCGGTCGGTCCCATTCAACGCGTGTTTCAAAGTCCAAGGTGTTGACCGGTCACTTATCGCTCGTCCTCTCTCTCTCTTTCTCTCTCTCTTTCTCAATCCAGAAAACTCACACTTTCTCTCAATCGATCGTCCGAAGCCTCTCGCGCGCGACGGAGTCGGCGAACGGACGTCTAAAGATGATAAACTACCCTTCCGTGACTGTAAGTCGCTTTTGAGGAACGTTGTCGAATCATCGACAAAACCGGAATGGCTCGATACATAATTCGATTTCTCTCTCTCTCTCTCTCTCTCTCTCTCTCTCTCTCTCTCTCTCTCTCTCTCTCTCTCTCTCTCTCTCTCTCTCTTTCTCTCTCTCTCTCTTTCTCTCTCTCTCTCTCTCTCTCTCTCTCTCTTCTCTTTTTCGGGGAACTCTCAGTCACGGAGGGAAATCATAGCGTCGTGTGAATCCAGTTAGAGTATTCCCTCTCCCCTGTTTGTTAGCGTGCGAGTGTGTGCGTGTGCACGGTTGGCAAATTTGTGCATCGATTTGATTTTCTGTTTGCCCGAGATCTAACACCGCCTCGTGTTTCGTATATCGAGTGCCAATTAGAGGACTTTAACACGTTATACACCATGTGGTCTGTGTTATTGTGAAAAAACAAAAGAGGAGGATCTCGTCGGTCGAGCAATCGTCGCGCGCGATTGTCGGCATGCATTATTTTCTACCGAGAAAGAGACCGATTGCGATCATGAGGACTCCAAAGAGAGAATCTTCTCCGTGTCTAACGTCGAGAGGGTGTCACTGCCAGATCGAAAGTCGACTTGAGACTTCGCAGCTGTGACTGTTCTCTCTGCCATTGTTTTTACATAATAATCGAGGAGAATCTATCTCGCGAAGTTGCTGCGCGGGAATCCGGGATTTCCGGTTGATAATCAAGTGCCCTGCCGATTATCAAGTAGATAATCGCACAAGTGGAAGTCCGTTAGAGATTATCAGTTCGAAATCTCGGGATTCTTCTCTCGACTTCTCAATCGGAAGGGGACGCAAAGGCCAGCTGGAGCAGCCGCGCGTTCTCTTCTCGCGTTGCGAAACGACAACACCGGTCCGATCTGGCTCTGACCGCGACTTTCTCTCCACAAACAGAATCAAGACTCAACAAGTCAAGACCTCTTATAAACACATACTCCCACAAACGACTACGAGAGAGAGACCGTTTCACCCGCTCCGAATGGTCTCTCCGAGTGCATAATACTTAGCGATAGCCCGAGTCGAAATTTCACTTCTACCGTGAGCCTCCAAATTCCGTAGGATTTATAGGACTACTGACGGATCTCCGTATCTAAAGTTATATAGGATATAGTACTACTTTCATGCTATAAGAAAACACTTTGCCTTCTTTTACTGCTCCAGAACGCCTGCATAACCTGTGCCTGCATAACAAGCATTTTTAAGAGATATGCAAAATTATTTAATATCCAATTATCTTTTATATATTCTCTCTACCTAGATTTTATAAATATATAATTTATTACAATTTAGGAAGAATGTTAGATACTCGAATTATCATATTTATTAATAATTCAAGTGTCTGACATTGTTCCTAAAATTTAATAAATTGTATATTTAAAATCTGAAGTAGGGAATATATGTATATATAAGATAAAAATGAATATTAAATAGTTTTTTTATATCTTCTAAAAAAATGCTTATAGCCAGGGCTTATAACTATATATATATATATATATATATATATTCTAAAATTTATGAATTATGAATTACAATTTTCTGTAATATATAATAATTGTTCATAAAAAAAACATAAATCACACTTATATTTGATGTATATTTATTTACATTTGGATATTTCGAACATTACTTCTTTCCAATCACTTCTAATTATTGCTGCTCTTTATAATCACTTTTCATCTCTTCTTTGGCGTTTTCCACTTTAAAATCACTTTATTAATGCATTAATTATTACAAGATATTTGTTTATTTTATAATGACGGAAAGAATGACATTGAGTGGACAGAGCAGTGATGAGCAGTTACAGAGTAGTTAAAGTAAAGAAATATCTTTTGAGGCTTAATATCGGCTTCGAGGATTATAGGAATATGAAGCTAAGCAGAGTCCAAAAGGCAGCGTTACAAGCATTACGATAGAACTTGTAGCACTTGTAGTGAGTATGAACAGCGTACAACTTAGTACTAAATAGGCTTATAGTAGATTTTAAATTTCGACTCGGGAGAACATGTCTGATTACAGCGTATGTCTGAAACTTGCGCAGAGATAGTAGAGGGCCTGTTACGGTGCTGAGAACACGCGCAGAGCGTGCTCGAGCTCGCAACACGCGCGAAATACACCCCGTGAGACCCCGAAGAGACTGCGCTATTCAGGGGAGACCACCCCGTCTCTCTCTGTCACGAACGTGCATCGTATTGTCTCTGTTAGTGCTCCCCCTTTCGTTTTACTTATTACTATACTATTACTACTATACTACTGACATTGCTACTACTATTATTACTACTACTATTACTACTAGTACCATCACCACTATCACTACTAACTACTATTACTATTACTACTACTTATTACTACTATTACTACTACTACTACTACTACTACTACTACTACTACTACTACTACTACTACTACTACTACTACTACTACTACTACTACTACTACTACCACTACCATCATCACTATTACTATTAACTACTACTATGACTACTTATACTATTACTACTACTACTCTTACACTAATTGCGATATGCCGCACAAGATCTGTCTCTGTCCGAACTTCTGTCTACCCTCTACACTATTGACTCTCCAAGCCGTAGGGAACGGTTACAAGCGCGCGAATGCTTCGGCAGACTCGCTCGCGAACGGTTCAGGACTGTTGCGGACCATTTCTAATTGGGTAACTATTGCCAAGCCCGTTTGGCGCGATGGCCCCTTGCGTTCGGTCGCAAGTCTTTCCGCGCACGGAAACGGCTGATAACGTCGACGCCAGCTCTCGTGACAGATTTAGCCGAGTTTTTAGTCACGCTCCGCCGTACGCTGTACGCGGCAGTCGTACGACGGCAGCCCGACCGGTAGATACGATGATGCCCCGGGCAACGAAGAGCATCTCGGGATCGTCCAAGGTGTGTAGTGGTCCACCCGCACGGTCGATGAGACCGCGGCCGTCTTTCCCGCGGAACGAACCGCTGCTAACGTTCACTCTGACGTTGTTACCGAGTCGGACCATCCGGTGGTAAGTAAGCGAAAGCCCCCGGCGGAAGTAGCTCCCCGCGTTGTTGGACATCTCTCGAGTTTCTCCCCCTCCGTCCCGTTCGCTGTTCGTTGCTGTTAGATCCCCGCGTTGAGTCCTCACCGGTCGACCGGTTGTAAGTCCTCCAGCCGAGCGAGCAGATGTCGCAAGAGTCGATGGCCCCCCTCGTTAGCACCCCTTAACGCACCTTAACGTCCCAGGGACGAACGGATGGCTCTCCTTCGCGAGGACTTCCGGTGTCGTTTGCACTCGCGGTCCGTTTCCCTCGTCGCACACACTCCCCTCACCCACCTCTCACCCTCGATATCTGCCTGATCACCGTGTGTAGGTAGGTAGGTAGGTAGATGCGCATGCGATACCGGGTTCGAGTTCGCAATTTTCCAGCTTGCTCTCCTGTGGTAGCAGCAGCAGCAGCAGCAGCGAGATCGCGAACAAGTCCAAGCGACTCGGTGCGTTTTATGTGCCCCCCTCCCCCACTTCCAATCCCTCGTCCGCTCGAAAGCCCGAACCCCACGCCGCCCTGTCCGTGCGACTCAATCCGTTCGGTCAGTCCCGACGAATTCGGGTGAAATGCAACCAAGTCGACTGCGATCGAGGAAACGTCACGCGAATATGAATAGGAAGAGAAAATTCCTACACCGTACAAGACGAACGAAAAGTATCGGCAAAGAAAAGAGAAACGATGTAGAATAAATACACGTGAAAATGCATCTGCAGCCACGAAACACGACAACAGCCACGAGAACAACGACAGGATTACAGTGTACAGTGCTGATACAGGGGGTGTACGAAACCAGACAGAATGCACGGCGACGAAAAGGAAATGGGGGAACACATATACACGTACATACGCACACGCATACACACACACACACACACACACGACATATGACGCACTCAGACTTCTTCTACGCGAAAAAAAAAGAAACGATACGACAATATGGCGTGCTTGTGTGTTGCTGGCTTGCCTCCTCGCTTCCTGATAGAACGTCCTTCCCTGTTTTTGCAGCTTCGAGTAATCAGAGCGTTCAAGTCGACTCTGGAAGATCTGGAGGAGCGTCGCTCTGTCCATAGTTTACACAGCTTACACAGTATGCGCAGTTCACGCAGCCACACCGGGCCCCGACCACTCTCTGACTTCACATACATTGACGAAGACCCGACAAACACCGCGCAGAACGCCGCCAACAGGTCCTCCTCCAATAGGAGTGCCGAGCCGAGTCAGGATTACGAGACAAACTACAGAGGATCCAGGATGCAGTCCCTCAACAGCCCCGCCTCGCCGTTGTTGCTGAGCGTGACCGGACCGGCCAACGCGTACAATCATCATTACACCATCAACACCACTACCGACAATAGATTCCCCTCCAGTAACGCCCTCAATCAGCCCCTGAGCCCCAACCATACGGCGCAGACGAGCAGTAATCGAGACAACACCGGGAATTCCCTGCTTCTGAGTTCCAACAACTTGGTGCTACCGGAGCTGACCAAGCTCGTGCACGAGACCAGCATCTAAGAACTCTCTCTTTCTCTCTCTCTCTCTCTCTCTCTTTCTCTCTATCTCTCTATCTCTATCTTTCACTATCTCTATCTCTCCCTCCCTCTTCTGAGTGTCGTCTCATCGTACACCACCTCCCATTCCTCTACATCTTGTTTCGTCGCCTTTGATCGTCACTCTTCTCCGCGTTCGCTTCGTGTTGCGCGATATCTCTCTTTCTTGTCTCGAATTTACCTGTTTCTCTCGTTCGACGTCTCTTATCCCGATCCTTCTTCTCTTTCCCCTCCCCATTCTCTCTTTCTCTCTTTCTTCGTGATTTATCTTCCTCTACTGTGTAGGAGGATTTGTATATATACTCTTCCGCTCTCTGCGGTCTTGTCCTTGTACATTCCGCGAGACTCAGTCTCGCCCGATTTCGCCGTGACGAGACGGCGAGTGTTTCGTCGCGAGGATCGGTCAGCGAGAAACGGGGAATCGTCCGCGCGGACGGTACGGCCAGTACGGACCTCCGCGATTCGTTTCCTCTCCCCCCTCTTTTGAACTCTATCGTCGTCTCTTTCCGCCTCTCCTTCGCGAGGATGTACTTACCATAACTCTGCTCGTTCCGGTCTCATCAACTTCTTTCTCTCCCTTCTTCTAGATCTTTCTCTTTCTCTCACTCTCTTTCTCTCTGGTGCTCTCTCGTTTTCTCCCCCCTCCCCTTCCCTCCCCCGGTTCCCCAACTCCCTGTCGGAAGAGATCTTACCATTCGTTCAACGGGGACGGCGGAACTGATCTGATCTCAAGAGAGATCAAACCGTGTCGATTCTGAATACGCCTACACAGATGAACAAGGCGGGGCATTCGCAAATCGTGCGCTACTGAACAAGTAAACAAATGTACTTAACGCGTGACTTTTGCGAAATGTTGATTGGGCTTGGGAGGAATAGCGGAGGAACTGGTGACAGGGGTGGGTCGCGTCGACTGTGAGGGAAATCCTCGCGCCCGCGAACTGAATCATCGCGATGGTTTGCGAATGACACGTTCTCGTGCATGGGCCACACTATCTGATATATTTATATATATATATATATGTACATATATATATATGTATATATATATATATATATATACACACACACAAGTCCCGCTTTCTACCCGCTTCACCTCTGTACTCGACTGTGTTCCGGGTGAGAGTACTATTTTCGTCGTCAGGACAGCGAAAACTCGCGCTATGTCGCATAGTCGCGTGGTTTTCTCCCTCTATTTTTCTTTGGTTTTCCTTTTTTCTTTCTGCACTGGGCGCCGGGTGGCGCAGGGAGACTGTACGGGTTGGAGGAACATAAGGGGTTAATTAACATCATTATTCAATTAAGTTTTGCATCGTTACCCGGTAATCGTACATATCTTTTTTTTGTTGTTCTCGAGTAGCGTAATAACCGGGGAAACGTTTTCACGTAGCATTTCCGGGCGTCCACCAGGATGGAAGATACAACTGGGAAAGCATTGTCGCTCGTAGAATACTCGGTGCTAATTAAGGCGATAATGCTGGCAAAAAGATGGGGCGCCTCCGTGGAGAATGAAAATAGTACTCCACACTCGTTCTCGAAAACAACGTAGACAGCGCTTCACGTGCTTGTCCGCTCGTAACTGACCCTTCCTCGTGCAATCGTTTACTTATCTACCCGCATATCTACCTATAACTACACTTACCGACCAGCAATTGGTGATAAAATAGCAATCTACGCTAGTTAGATCTTCATCCACGTTGATCCTTCGCAGACTAAGTGTAGACCGCGTAGGTCCAAGCAAAGAGCACGTAGCTCGTCTTATATTTACTGTGTATTCTTGTTTAGGTCTAGGGAAGCACTATATAACTATATCGTCTACTATGGTAAGGCTGCGAAAGGAACCCGCACAGGGTCAAAGAGATAATCTCCTCAAAGTCAATATTCGATATCGCGATAGAAGAAAATAATGATTCGATTCCAACGGAGAATCGTCTCACAAGGGACCACTTCTCTTTCTTGCG